CAGATCCCAGTTTCCTAAGTGTGCATTCTGGGCTTTTCCCACAACTTCACTGAATTTACTATGTAGTTAAAGGTAAATCGAGAGACCTATCAACAATTATGTGAGAGAGATATGTAGAAATGTGTAAGATCTATAAACTCACTTCCAAAGTACCATCTATTTACTTCTTCTGACGTGTTTATGGAGATGTAATTTTATGTAGCATCTCTTCACTTCTACCTTTATAAATTTGATTTCATTTTAAAATTACCATTGCTTGCTACGGTCATTTCCAAAATGTTTGGCAGTTCCACATTTGTCATTTCTAGCGGCAGTGTATTACATTGCATGAGTATACTGTTCTCCCCCACAGACAAACATTTGGGCTATTTCCAGGTTTTAGCTCACATATATCGCCGCAACTATAAATATCTTTGTAAAAAATATATTTTTCTTTTGAATTATTTCTTTGTGATTTAGTGCCAAAAATGGGAATGCTGGGTCAGAAGCTGTCATATAACAATTCTCGACGGAATTCCTTCCTGAGAAGCTGTACTGGTGTGCTACCTGCTGCCTGCGATATATAACCAAACACAAAGCTGGCTATCAAACCAAAGCCAGTTTCTGTTTTTTCCCACCTAGTAATAGATGTGAGGTGGCACTTTAATAATTGTTTTAGTATGCATGTCTGTATTAATGATGTGGGATGTTTCCCCAGTGTTTAGTTATGTGGACACCGTGTGACTGTTCTTATCTGCTGTTGGTTGTAGATAAGGGGGTATTGGAGACAGGGTGTTATTCTGGTAGATTTCTATCAGTCCCTTAAAAGTTTTAGAGATAAAACTTGTACCTATAGTATTGTTAATTTTCCCCTGCTGTTGACTCTGTTTTCATTTTAATCTCTTTTTTCTTTTGTGCAGCATTTAAAATTGAAACACTTTAAAATCTTCTAGTCAAAAAAAATATTTTAAATTCACTCTCATTTTGGGGGGATTTATTATATTGGGTTATGAGATACCGTCTAAATCAGTTTTTTCCTCCATTGATACCCAGTTTTGTCACCAGCATTAATAATAATTTATTATTTTAATGAGTATTTTCCTCTTCACCCAAATATTACAGTGTAGAGAAATTGGAAAATACATAAAAACACAAAGAAAATAAAAACACACGAAGTTGGCTATCCACAGTTAACGATTTTGTTTTTTTACTTTTAATTGTTCATTTTATAAATATTGCATTGGTCTGACCATTCCTTCACTGTCCTATAGCGTCCCCAATAAGTGAGGGGGGGTGGGACCTAGTTTACGATTTTAGAGTATTTACTTCCCATGTTCTTTCTAAGGCATGTATATTCCTCTTCCCTCCCTTCTTCCTCATAAACTTGGGAACATGCTACATAAACCCAACAACACTAATGAAGTAGTGATTTCTTTCTTTACTTTAAAATTTTACTTTGTTTGTTATATATTAAGTTCATATCAGTTTGGGTCATTTCTGGCTTTCTCTTTTTAAATTGAAGTGTCAGCTAGTTTGCTTATCGCTTATTTCCAAGGTCTTCTAATTGGATAAAATACAGGAAGTATAATTGCACTATCAACAAACACATTGATACTTAATATGCATAGGTATTGGGTAAATGGAAAACAGTTCCTGGCACATCATAAACACCATATTAAATGTTAAATAAATTATCTTTGGAATTATGATCCAGAGAGATTAAAACATTCTACGTCATTTTAAAAATAGTATTCAGTTGGGTTAACTAAACTCTACTCACTATGTTGAAAGATTTTCCATAGTAAAATTGAAATAAAAATGTATTTTGGGGGCGCCTGGCTGGCTCAGTCAGTAGAACATGTGATCCTTGATCTCAGGGTCATGAGTTCAAGCCCCACATTGGGCATGGAGCCTACTTAAAAAAAAAAAAAATCTATTTTGGGTTGATCTTCTAGCCAGAAAATTAAAATAAGCAACCCCTTCCTGAACATTTACTCTCTTTAAAGGGTTTCAGAAGATTGACATGAAGTCATGGATATGTAAAAATTTTTTAAGTGTCCACATGGATAAAATGCTATAAAAAGAATAATAAATTGGAACAAAATTGACAATACAGATTATATAAAGAGGCTTTACACACTCACAAGAAAAAGACCAAAGTCCTCATAGCAACAGGGACAAAGGGTATGAACAAGCATTTCCCAGAAGAAATGCTAATGGCTTTCAAACATATGACCAGATATTCAGTCTTATCCATAATTAGAAAAAATACTGTACACATTTAAACAACAGGAAGGAAACTTTTTTTTTTTTAATTAAGATTTTATTTATTTATTTAACTGACACAGAGAGAGAGCTAGAGAAAGAACACAAGCAGGGGGAGTGGGAGAGGGAGAAGCAGGCTTCCCACCAAGCAGGGAGCCCGGTAGGGGGCTCGATCCCAGGACCCTGGAACCATGACCCAAGCTGAAGGCAGCCACTTACCCAACTGAGCCACCCAGGTGCCCCAGGAAGGAAACTTTTTAAAAAAGATTTTTATTTATTTGAGAGAGAGAGATAGAGAGAGTGGAGGGAAGGGCAGAGGGAGAGAATCTTCAAGCAGACTGCCCACTGAGCACAGAGCCTGACACAGGACTCGATCCCACAACCCTGAGATCATGACCTGAGCCGAAGGCAGACACTTAACCGACTGAGCCACCCAGGCGCCCCTAAAACCATCCTTTCTAACCTGTATCTGTTGTAATCTTGAAAGCAGGACTTGATTGCTGACTTTTAGCAAAGGGTAGTAAATGTGAAGGTATAGCAGAGACTGGAAGAAATGCATGTCTCTCTTTTTTTCTCAATAGACCTGGTAGTTATTACTCTGTTCCAAGCAGTGTACCTTTATTGTCCAATGGAGCAGGCCAGGGAAACACAGGGGAGCTATGGGGCTTAAGGTGAAGTTTTCAAATTCTTGCCCATAATTGCAAAATTCTGTCCAAAGGTACATTTTCAGAGGGGCTTTGTGGTCTTCTCCCTGTCCCCTACCACTCCAACCCAGTCACAAACTATGCCATTCCTGTTGCTGGTGCGCTCCCTTCTCTCTTACTGCTCTAACTTTCCTCACCCAGAAAGTACTATTGACACTCCCAACATTTTCTTAATTGAAAAATTCAAAACAGAAAAGTTGAATGAAATGTACCATGAACGCTCATATGCCCACAACCTAGATTCTATAGTTAACATTTCACTGTATTTGCTTTATCATGCATTTCAAAGTGAGTTGTGGATATCAGTACACTTCACTTGTAAACACTTCAGCATGCATGCATATAATTGGTATATATTAGTTTATGGGCTTTTTTGTTTAAGAAAAATTTCTATACAGTGAAATGCTCAAATCTTAAGTATATCATTTGGTGCATTTTTTTTTTCCATTTGGTACATTTTTTTTCATTTGATGCATTTTTGACTAAAGCTACATACCCGTGTAACCCAAATCCCCTTAAGATTTAGATATAGAATGTTACTCCAGAAAGTTTCTGCATGTTCCTTCCCAGTCAATCCCCTTCCCAGTGATAGGATTCCCAGTGGTAATCACTGTTCTGATTCTTCCATTATAGATTAATTCTCCTTCTCAAACTTCACATGAACAGAATCATACAACATGAACTCTTGTGTAATGTTTCTTTCTTTCTTTCTTTTTTTTTTTTTAAGGATTTATTTATTTATTTGACAGAGAGTGAGAGAGCACAAGTAGGCAGAGCGACAGGCAGAGGAAGAGGGAGAAGCAGGCTCTCCCCTGAGCAGGGAGCCCGATGCGGGGCTCGATCTCAGGACCCTGGGATCATGACCTGAGCCGAAGGCAGCCGCTCAACCAACTGAGCCACCCAGGCGCCCCATGTGTAACGTTTCTTTCATTCAGCATAATGTTTTTGAGATTCACCAACATTACTGTGTATATCAGTAGTTGTTTCCTTTTTATTGCCGAGTAGCATTTCATTGGATGAATATATACCAAAGGGTGTATGCCCATTCTCCTCTTGATGGCTGCCTGGGCTGTTTTCAACTTTTGGCTGTTAATGACTAAAGTTCCTATGAACATTCTTGTGCAAGTCTGTTTGTGGACATATGCTTTCTCTTGGGTAATTGCTAAGTCATAGAGTAGGTATATGTTTAGATTTATAATAGACTTCCAGACATTTCTCCAAATTGGGTGTACCATTTTGCTTTCCCACCAAGATTGTAACAGAGTTTTTACTGGCCTTCAAAAAATATATATTCATATACATATGTATATAAATGTGTGTGTGTATATATATTTGTGCATATAATTGAGTGTTATATATTAGTTTATATATATACAAACACAATTACAGGTATAAAATTACATATACATATATAAATGCATATATAATATATACATATGCATACAATTATACATATGTATTTATAATTTCTTCATATTTTCTGGATATAAGCCATTTGTCAAGTATACATTTTGTGAACATTTTCCCCCAGACTGTGGTATGTATATTAATTTTGGTGAGCAAAAATTTAAAATTTTGGTAATGTCTCATTTATTAGACTTTTCTTTTATGCTATTGCCTTTTGTATTTTAAGAGACCTTTGCTTAGCCCCCAAGTTGCAGAGATATTTTGATATATTTTCTTCTATCAGCTTTATAGTTTTAGATGTTATGTTTAAATTTATTTTGAATTAACTTTTCTGTTTGGTATGAGATAGGAGTCAGAGTTTGTGTTTTTCCTTAGGGATAGCCAGTGGTTCCAACTCTCTGTTATCCTTTCTCCATTAGATTGCTTGGGCATCGCCACAGACTCTGTAATGGACAGGCTGTTCTCCTTGGCTTTCTTGGTTATCCTAGGGTGGAGAGAGAAAGTTATTCCTTTCTGGTGTCCTAACCCCATCACTTATATCTAGACGTATTCTAGATACTCCTGAGTTCTGACTTAAGCCTGTGGAATTTTCTCTGGTTGGCAATGAGTTGTCGTGACTGGGTTATCTGTTCTGTCTGAACACAGGATGGCCAGTGTCCCGGTGAAGGAACGGGTGAAGGTGTCTCAGAACTGGAGGTTGGGGCGCTGCCGAGAGGGGATCCTGCTGAAATGGAGATGCAGGTAAGTAGCCTCTTGACTCTTAAAGCTACCTGGGACAGAAAAGCATGCTGGGAGGTAAAAAGTCTGGTCCTAGCTAGAGTGGATATGTGCCTCTCCTGAGGTGTGGCAAAGGGGGCATCGGAGGGACTTTTTTTTTTTTTACATTTGTAAAAATTACCAAAAAATGTACTTTAACAAATTCCACATTTTTATGATTATAAAAATAACACGTTTATTCTATTGAAAAAATAGAAGCATTTAAAGAGGAAATAAAACTTCCGTATAATGCTACCACTCAGAGGTAACCACTGTTAATGTACCTCATCAAAAGAAATAAATGAAGCCAGCATTTCAAACCATCTTGTTTTACAGTTATTTTTCTTTAAATCTACTCTATGGAGTTATGCCTTCACTTCCTTCACTCCATTAGCCCTCTGCCCAACCTTATTAAGAAGGCAAAATAGGACCTAAAGGCTTGGCTATAGATGTTACAGGAGGTAGAGTTCAGAACTGCGAGGAAATTTAGACAGTGGCTTTGGATTGCTAATGCCGCAAATTTTATGCTTCACCGATGCTACGTTATTTCATAGTTATCATTTGACTCCCTACCAAAGAAGTGCTCCTTGTTGATTGGTTGGAATGGATAAGGAACGTCATGTTCCTCATTCCAGGTTGACCTGCAGACAGGCTTCTTCATCTGAAGACCCCTTCGGTCTTGCTGGTGTCCAGTTTCTGCTGCTTTCATGGGTGGTGGTTGCTGTGAGTTATGCGGGGGTCCTGGTGGTAGTAAAGAAACTACTAGGGAGAAAGACTGATTTTTATGGTAAAAAAAACTTTACCCTCTGCCTCCTGCTTTTACCTTTTAATACCAGAAAGTGGAGTTTATTTCTGTATCAAGGTTTTGTCCCTGACGTCTTTTTTGGGGATGGTTTTCAAAGCAGTTTGGCAAATAAACACACAAAGCAGTTACCAGGCTGCCCCAGGATTCTCCACTGTTCACCTGGCATGAACCTGGTTTCTTGTCCTAGGCAAATGGCTGTTTACCAGATGGCTCTAAACACATGCATTCCAACCACCCCACTTGACTGTGCCACAAACCTGTGCAAGGGGATTTTGAAGGGGGAAGTGTATAATGAGTGAGAATGTAGGCAACTCTACACATGTTCTGTAGAATATATGCACACACTTGTAAAAACCCCCTGAGCAGAAACTCAGCTACTACAAAGGCCAAGCTGCATTTAATGGCCCGTCAAGTCAATTTGCAGAACTTTTCCACATTCCCATGACGCTTGTATTAAGGAGTGTGGGGAAGAAACACGGCCCAGTTTGCTCAGACAGGCTTGGCAGTGGGAGATGGTGTCTCTGTAAATGCAGATGAATCAGCTGTCCCTATGCTTTGCTTGGGATCTGGTAGCTCCAGAACTCCTACATAGAGTAGGACAGGCTGCTGGGATGTCTACCTTGGGAGCTTAGTCGCCACCAGAGAGCCTGGGGTCTGGCAGAGTCTGTCTGCCTTTCTCTTCTTTTCTTTTTTCTTTATTCTTTTTCTGTCTATTTCTCTTCTTCTGTGTCCCTCCCTCCCTCCCTTCCTCCCTTCCTTCCTTTCTTTTTCTTTCCTTATTTTAAAAAGATTTTATTTATTTGTGTGTGAGAGAGAGAAAGAGCACAAGAGGAGGAGCAGAGGGAGAGGGACAAGCAGACTCCATGCTGAGTGGAGCCTGTCTCGGGCTTGATCTCAAGACCCTGAGATCGTGACCTGAGTTGAAATCAAGAGTTGGTCGCTTAACTGACTGAGCCATGCAGGCGCCCCTGGCAGAGTCTTCTTTCTTAAGGCTCATTCCGTGCCGTGGGACTGGCCTGTGGCTTCTAACCTTTCTTCCTCCTGCCATACTATAGAGGGAATCTTTAACTATTTGTGGATTTCTCTTATCAGCTGCCTAGGAGAGCTGATTATTTCTCTGGAGCCCCCATATTGTAGTGGACTGCTGCGGAGCTGTGTTTTCCCATTGCCCCACTTACCCTCTAATACAGAAACGCAGATATCCCGTGTGAGGATCTAGATAGCTAACTAGTACATTAGCATCCTTTCCTAAGTGGCCATATTCCTTTCACTTATAAATAGCCCCTTTGCATAGTGGGATAAGGGAATAGGGCTTCTTGGGGCTCACTCTTCTCTTTTCTCCATCTGCTCTGTTGGAGGAAGAGGTAGAAGTATGTGTGGGAGTCTTGGAACCTCGAAACTTATCACTTAACACTTCAAATCAGGGAGGATGCAGAATGAAAGAAAATCACTTCATCTGGGTGGAGGTTTTTTTTTTTTTTAAGATTTTATTTATTTATTTAGAGAGAGAGCACAAGCAGGGGAAGCAGCAGGCAGGGGAGAAGCAGGCTTCCCGAGGAGCAAGGAGCCCGATGTGGGACTCGATCCCAGGACCCTGGGATCATGACCTGAGTGGAAGGCATATAATGGACTGAGCCACCCAGGCTCCCTGGAAGGTTTCTTTTTTAACCCTCTCTGCGCCCCAGTCATTGAATTTGCTGAGATCTGCCTACCCCCAAGAAGTCTACGCTGCCAGTAATTCGAGTCTTAAGCATTCTCCAATTAAGAGTGATATTTAATTGGTCTTGTAGTTCTGACTTTCTTTCATGAAGTCCAGAACTTTCAAAACAAAGTTTTACTTCTGGAAGTGTCTCCTCCCTTTGCTCTTTTCTTCCTTACACTTTGTATTCTGTCAGAGACATGCACACCAGAAAGCTCTGTCTCTCTGGTTTTCTTTTTTTTTCTTTTTTTTAAGATTATATTTATTTATTTGACAGAGAGAGAGACAGTGAGAGAGGGAACACAAACAGGGGGAGTTGGAGAGGGAGAAGCAGGCTCCCCACGGAGCAAGGAGCCCGATGTGGGACTTGATCCCAGGACCCTGGGATCATGACCTGAGCTGAAGGCAGTCGCTTAACCGACTGAGCCACCCAGGCGCCCAGGTTTTCTAAGGGTGGCCTAAGGGTAGGTAGTTTTACAGGAGATTGGGGAGGTAACGGCTGAGCCGTACAAGTTATTCTTGCTAAGTTGGGGATCAGTCAGCCTCTCCAAAGATCGGAGTCCGTTTTCATACTGTATCTCGTTGATTCTTAAATTGTGTTTTACATCTCTGCAGTCAGATGCCCTGGATGCAGCTAGAAGGTGATTCTCTGTACATATCCCAGGCTAATTTCATCCTGGCCTATCAGTTCCGCCCAGATGGTGCCAGCTTGAACCGTCGGCCCCTGGGAGTCTTTGCTGGGCATGATGAGGACGTTTGCCACTTTGTGCTGGCCAACTCGCACATTATCAGTGCAGGAGGGTAAGTGCTGCAGGAGTCTCCTTCTACTTCTTCCTTCGCATTCTTCAGGGAACTTCTGCTTGCCTGCCTCTTGACTTTTCTTTCTCAACTCCAAAGGGATGAGGAGGGAGACCATAGGAAGAGGGAGTGTTTTTGTTTTTGTTTTTGTTTTTCCATATGAAGCAGAGAGATTTACCAAAGGCACTATTAATAGGGTTAGCTGGAGAAGGAAAACAGGAAGAGCCTTTAATGAAAAGTGAAGCTGGTTTTGATACTCTCATAGGGGAAATTTGTTTTGTCTCTCAGCTCTGTTCAGCCCCAAGTGTACTGAAGAAGTAGAGGTGTCTCAAAGCTCAGCGCCTTGTTGAGCTGAATTGCCTAAAACAGCAAATTTGGACATCACTGGAGACTCAGGCTGCTTCTGTAGCCTTGTTCTCTTCCGACAGAGAGAATAATTGGCTATTGGGGGTGGTCTCCCTATTTCTCTCCTAGAGATGGGAAGATTGGCGTTCATAAGATTCATAGCACCTTCACTGTCAAGTACTCGGCTCATGAACAGGAGGTGAACTGTGTGGATTGCAGAGGGGGCATCATTGTGAGTGGCTCTAGGGACAGGACGGCCAAGGTGAGTGGTCTCCTCCTTACGTATGGTTATTCCCTCCTGTCTATAGGGAGTGGGGTGGGAGAGGGTGGATAGGGCCTTGAGTCTTGGGATTGGCTGAGGGCGCTGGGTGGGGGCGGGAGGGGACGACACGATAAAGGACTCACTTATGTGCTTCTGGCATGCAGTTTGCGGTGCCAGACTATGTCCCTGCCAGCTGGCCTGAGAAAGGAGTGGACAGTGGCTGGGAAGCTTGCCACTCACTTGAAATGTGAGGGCCTGGCCAGCTTTTCCTCCCTGCGCTGAATTTCCTCAAGTTTGTGGGCTGAGTTCTGACCCCAATATTTTATTTTAAAATCTCCCTCCTTTTGCTTGCTCTCTGTTTAGGGAGGTTAATTTTTCACCACCGTGTTTATAAGCAATCAGGCTGATAATTAAAATGTGTTTTTACTGCTTCTCTGGAGAGTGATGTGGTCAGCAAGCAGTAGAAAGACAAGGAGGGAAAGGCGTTTCGGTGCGTCATTGCCGAACTGCCTGGGCTACAGTCAGTCATCTGCCAACAGAATGAGGCCGATAAGTAGTGTGACCCCTGCTTTAGGGACTCTGCTCATCCATGTTTGAGTCAAACAGGCCTCCACCCATGAGACAGAGAAGAATGTCTTTCTCCCTCCCTGTGTCCAGCAGCCCTAGGCAGGGCCCGCACACATCTGGTCCTTTGGGGCTGCTGTGGGAACTTCGCTGACAATTCAGTCGAGGTGTAGGAAGCCCGATAGTATCTTACTTGCCTGTTTTCCGGCATCTGGAGACTTCATAGTGCCAACAGGAGCAAAATGCCTCTTCGTGTCAGCAAATAGGCTGCTAAGACACCTAGGGAGGGTCTCCGGAGAGGAAAGTTGCAGTTTTTACTCATTAACTTTTCTGACTCCATGTACCCTCTGGTGATTATCCCTTCATATAAAAATGCCACCAATTTATATAAAAAGGGCAACATATGTTCCTTTTTACTTCTGGAAGTTTCTCCTCCCTTTGCTCTTTTCTTCCTTACACTTTGTATTCTGTCAGAGACATGCACCCAGCACAGGAAGCCTGAGAAAAGCCCAGAAAATCTTTGGAACCAACTTGGAAACTGAATTTCCTATTGCCTGTTTCCCGTTTCCCCTACCCTATACTTACTTCAGGTTTCTGATTGGTCACTGTAGTTGTACCATTCCTTGCAAACAGACTGGCCTTAACCTGCTGTACTCCTCAGAAACAATTTGCATAGAAATCTTTTTGGCAGTGTGACCTAAAAATATTCCCATCTCCTTCTGGCATCTTCCTGTCATGGCTTCAAGTCTCCCCTGGCCCCTCCTTTTCAGTGACATCCCTTTCTTCTATCCTCTTTTCTGTGGTCGGACACCCAGAGCAGTTTAAAACTAAGCTTTTTGACCAAAGGTAGCAATTCAGGGGGATGGACTGCTTGTAGTCAAAGGATAGTAATCCCAATATTTGGGATATTGGGTTAGTTTCATGTTTTAAGTACCGACTCAACCCTATTTGGTGGATTCAGTTCTTTTTAAGCATTAAAGTAGGTACTTTCTAATTACAAAATTGTCACCGCAGTTCATCCTGTTTCCTTTGAGGATTTCTTTTAAGTCAGTGACAGAATCCCCCCTCCCCCGCCCGGTTCTTCAACTCCAGAAAGCTGGCCTGCTGTTTTGGGGCTCCCCAGTGACCTCCAGGCCAGCTCATCTTTGCAGATTTCTGGACGCTGCTTCTGCTCCCTCTCCGTTGCTGTCTTTGCCTCTAGCTGCCTTCAGCTTCCTGACCTGTTTCTACATTACCCAGTGCTAATCTTGTATAACCAGCCCTCCATTTCTTTTTGGTGGCATCTGCGGTCCCATAGCTGCTTCTATAGGCTTCTAATACACCCCAACCTACATGAGAACTTAGTCGTGTTTGCCTGTAAATATCTATAGCCTGTTTGTTGGGAGTTCCCCCAAATACGTACTGTGTTTTAGGAAAGAGATTTGTTTTATTGGGGTGAAAGGAACTAAAACATTTTCTTTGTAAGACTTCTGAGTTAGGAACTGATTAGAGCTAAGCCCGGAGTGGCTGCTTAGTTTGGATTGCCCCTCCATCCTGATATGTGATAGGACTGTAGGAATGTTCTCAGTGGGCCTGGGCTGGTCCTGACCATTCTTTCGTTGTCTCCCTTAGTTCTCTATTCTTCCATTTATTCTTAAAAGTACCTACTGTATGCAAGGCATAGTGTACAAGGCACTGGGGCTCTTCAAAGGTGAGGAAGAGCCAGCCTCTCCTCTTGAGGCGAGCTCAGACATGCCTGCAGTGGCTCTGAAGCTGATGAGAAGTGGCCGGGACTGTGAAGTGTGCAAGGCTCTAGGGAGAGGGCCAGAAAGTTCACAGGGTGGAGAGATCACATCTGGCTTGAAAGGGGAGACTTTATGAAGGAAGGAACATTTGAACTTGTTGTTTTTTTCTTCTTTTAGTTATTTTTCAATGCAGAGGTTTGCTTGTTTATATATAAGTAACCAGGCACGATGCTAAGCACCTTACAATTGTTCATTTTCTCCTTTTCTCCTTTAGGAGAATTGTTTCCCCACAAATTATGCTCATAATATATTTTGGATATCCAATATACCCTACTGTATCTACTTTATTTTATAAGGTTTTCTATTATTATTATATATTTAAGTGTCATCTTCAATGGCTTAATGAGTAATAAGACCCACTGTTATTGAATGCTGGATACCTGCCAGATGCTGGGTTACTATGTTTGGTGCTTTACGCATTTCTTGACTTTTCTGCAGCCCTCAAAAGATAGGTATTATTTTCCATTGTACATATGAAGAAACTGAGGCTAAGAAGTCCTGAAACATCCTTAAGATCAGAGATAATAAATAACAACTGGGTTCAGACCCACATGTGTCTGACTCCAAAGCCCACGCCTGCCCTATCTGCTCTTCCTGCAGCCGTAGGCTGCTGGGAATATTTTTACCATATAGGTTTCTCTTCGTTTTAGAATTACTATCTTTGGGTAGAGTCTCAGCAATAGAATTACTGGGTGTGAGGCTTTGGTCATTTTAAGAGTCTTGATACATATCGTCAACTGCTTTTTGAAAGGACTATATAAATGTCCACTTCTACTGAGTTATATCTTTTGCAGGGATGGGTTTGTTTTGGATTTGACTGCTGAGGGTGAAGATGTGTGATCAGCACGTTGTTGTCACCTCCCCTCCCTCGGGCGTCATGACACTTGGGTTCCTGCTAGGGCAGCGCTTCCCCAACGTCATGCTCAGCACCAGCAGCAAGCCTCCTGAGGCCCTCCTGGAGACCAGACACCTTGTCCTGTGGTTTGCACAGTGTCAGAATCCACCAGCCCCTTCCGTGGGGGGGGGGGGGGGGGGCACTGGTGAGTTCAGGACTGGAACTGTCCCCATAGATTTTATAATCAGAGGGCTTTAGTGTCTCCTCACCCTCCGACCTGCGTTCTAGAGAGTTGGCATCTGAGAAAAGGCAAACCTCTCCTCCGGGCTGGGACTGTGTGAAAGAAGGCATTAGAAGTGCATTTAGTTACAGGCAAAGTGGCATGGCTGTAGATCCAGAAGGGTAAGCCAGAATCCTGGCATTCCAGGAAAGTTGTGGTATTTACCTTTGTTTTCTGCCCCTCCTTGTTCAGGATCTTCTTAAGTTTATTTTCTTTTCCCTATATTGGAAGGAACTCACACCCTCCTCCCCCTGTCATGCATACACAAAATCTTAAAACACTTTCTCCTTTTATAGGGAAGACATGTCATGTGACCCTAAGAAGGCAAGACCACCCCCACTCCGTCACCTGCCCCTTAAACTCAAGGAATGTCTCCTGAAAGTTCTTCCATCTAAGGTCCTGACTGGCTTTTGTGTGTTCCCCCTTATAGCACTGCAGGGACCTTGAGAGGTCAGTGATCCATCTGGCAGCCTCAGGATCCCTCCTTGGCCACTGTCTGGGACAGCCCTGTACATTCAAGGCTTCCTTTCTGTTTGGTTAGAGGCTTATTTCCCCGAGTGTGTCATCTGGGGTTGGGTGAGGTGAGGGGGGCCTTGTGCTTAATGGGAGATTTCTAAATGCACTGGCTGCTGAGGGCTCCCTGAGTGTTGATTAGAGCTAAGCCTGGAGTGGCTGCTAATGTACATTCCTGACTGATAGGGACCAGATAACGTGCTCCAAGCAATATTTTTAACCTGTAGGAGATATGGAAGCTTAAAAGAGTTAAGCTTTTCTGCTACTTTTGGTGACACTAGGTGCTAAATTCCCTGCTGACATGAATAGCACTGGATCCTGGGCATTATCAACAAACAAACAACAACACACCACCTTCGTGCTTTGAAGCTGCTCTTCTTCTTCTTCCATTCTTTCCTTCCCTTGTGTCTTTCTTTTTACTCCTCTCTCTTAATTCTGCTCTAATTCCATCGTTGTTCCCCCATACTGGGCCTTGATCATCCTCCTCCCTACCGCCCAAAGAAAAATCTGGTTGAGAGATAGGAAAAAGGAAAACCCACAAACACAAGGAAGTCACTAAGAGAGGTGAGTTCCACCTGCTCACCCTGCTGAGTCAAGGCTCAGCTGAAGAGTGTGGAGCTTCTGATTCCCTGATACAAGATTGGGTGGTAAAGAAGGGCTCTCAGGTGGATGTTAAGGAGGGCAGTTCGGACTGGGAGTCAGGTGGGTGAGCCAGAGGCTGGGGAGGCTTCTCTGCTCATTCTCTGAACTCGGCATATGCAGGACAGAAAGGAGTCTCCGTTCCCCTCCCCCACCTCCCAGGACACTCACCCCGCATCTCAGTCCCTGGCAGTGCCAACGAGAGCGTCTCCTCTCCTGTTTCCAGGTTTGGCCTTTGGCGTCAGGTCGGCTGGGGCAGTGCTTACATACCATCCAGACTGAAGACCGAGTCTGGTCCATTGCAATCAGCCCAGTACTAAGGTAAGGGAGACGTTTTGGGGTATGGTTTTGTCCTGTATAATAATGCTTTTATTTTCTGAGGTTGGGTGGGCTAGGAAATCCTCCTCCTGTATATTCTAGGTTGCTTTGAGCCTGTCTTCTGGAGATTTTGAAAATCCTCCAGAGGCTTGAAGTCTGTGGCTCACTTCATATGTGTGTGGGGTAGAGACAACATTCCAGAGGTTAACTTCCTAGGCATCTACTCCAGAAATATGAGGGGAAAAAATACCATTAAAATGTGACTGAGGCCAGCTGTTACAAGAGTGCCCCTTCTGGAGCCTATGCCCTCCGGGGTTACTTCCAAAGCAGAGGCCTGTTAGCACCCCGGGGAAGTTACTGCACCAGCCAGCCTGCTCTCACAACCCACATCTGGTTTGTTCCCCTTGGAAAATGTCTTCTGGAGTATCCCTTACAGACCTGAGTCATCAGGAGAGGCGTGGGGCCCATGTCCAATTGGGGACAGGTATGTGGCATAGGGTGATAATTGTAGCAGAAGTGCCAAATTTCTGATGGCAGCTTTACTTTACTCTTTGACCTCTTTTTCTCTAGCTTTACCAGTAAACAAGTGAGCTCTGCATCCTGATTTCTGCTTTCTAGGCTTTCTTGAACCAAGGCAGAGCCTCTCTCCTCCCCAGCAGGGTACATAGACTCTCTCCTGCACCTGCTCTATCAGAGTGTTTGTTTTTCTAGGGTCTTCCCTCACTTCCTTCATCCCTCACTCCTCACCTAAGTGATCAGTGGGCAAGCTGTAGGGCTGCCACCCTCCAACATGGGGTTTAAGTCAGTCACTAGTTTTACGAGAGTTGATTCCCCCCACCAACTCAGCCCCCTTCAGCCTCCCTCTCCTCACCCCATGGAGCCTGCACCCCTCCTGCCCCCTTCTACAACTCCCTTTAAAATTTTTTTCTTTCTAAAGAATTAGAGCCGATTAGCCACGTCATTAATTCTTCAATTTGACGGCTGATATAGCAGGACCTGAAACACATTGCTGACCCCAGAGAATGGAGACCCCGTTCCTTAGCATATTGACGATGGGAGAAGTTAATTAAAATTCCACAGAGCGGAGGTGTCGGCTAACCTATAAACCTGTCGCTGTTCAGAACAAATCATTCTAGCAATCCTAGGAAAGAGGGAAGGAAAGACCAGCAGGGAGTAGAGAGGCCTAAGTGTGTGGGAGCGGACGGTGGAGAACAGAGCCATCGGACACGGTCCCCTCCACAGTGTTTTTCCACTGCTGCCCCTTTTAAAGCCAGTTGGCCAGGCTTGGGGGTCTGTGGGCTGGATGTGTGTAAGGATTGAAGGAAGGCAGAAGAGCCTGTGGGAGGTGGCAGGTGGGCTGGTGACTATCCAGTGGACATCTGCTGGCTTCAGGAGACTGGGATGGACTGGGCTGGGGCCGGTGGTAGAGGGAAGCTCTTCAGGGCTGGAGATTTAGGCCAAAGAACACAGCCAGCTTCAACTAGCACCCCATCCCTTGCTCCAGCCATCTCTCTGGAATGTGTCCGGCTCCCCCGTAACAGAATAGAGCATGACAACTGTTGAAGATCGTTTCAGTAAAAGAGGTTGAGCTCAGAGTCTGCCTCGGCATTGAGAAGCACTTCAGAACACAGTACACTGGGTTTTGTTTTGGCCACGACTTGCAGGCCGGCTTTGAGGAAGGACCTAGCTTTCTGACAGCACCAGTACTAACCTACAGTGGCCCCGGTGTGTGTGTATTAGTCCTTTGCCCTGTGCCAGACCCTTTGCTAAGTCCTGGATGTGCCTCATTTTCGGTGAAAACCTGGGTCTTTTGTTCTCTTCTCATTCTCCTTCAGAGTCTCCTTGTCCTCTTGGTGTATTTCCTTGGCCCTAAGATGACTCTCTCAGTCACTGTTGACTGGCTTTTCAGCTCCTGAACCACAGTTGTTTGAGATGACCTTTTCCCCAGCTCAACAGATGATGTTGTGGACTCTTTGAAAATACTTTGCATTGGGGATCCTGGCTTTATTAGATGCCCAGGGTGGATGCTGCTACTCTCTCCCCCGTTTTCTCTCTGACCCTGAAGTGTCCTGGCTAGGGCGGTTTCATCCCATTATTAGATCCATTTCTTCCCTCCGTGTCCATGAGTTTGAACCTGTCAATGAATGCTTCCATTTTCCCAACCTGGGGAGACCCTGCCTCCTGGCCTCAGGGTCTGTTCTGGAAGACTGAGGTTCTGCTTTGCCACCATCAGCAGGGTGGCCTCAGGTAAGTCATTCCCTTCTCTGAGCCTGTTTCCTCATTTTTTCAATGTGGATACTGCTTCCTTTATAGACCTCACTAGATGATTGTGAGGATGACCTGAGATGATAAGAAAATACTCGGCAGGGATGCCTGAGTGGCTCAGTCACTTAAGCGTCTGCCTTCAGCTCGGGTCATGATCCGCGGGTCTTGGGATCGAGCCCCATATCGGGCTCCTCGCTCAGCGGGGAGCCTGCTTCTTCCTCTGCCACTCTGCCTGCTTGTGTGTGCGTGCGCTCTCTCTCTCTGGCAAATAAATAAATAAAATCTTAAAGAAAAAGAAAATACTTGGCAAAGCTAAAAGGGCTATCTTATCATGTCAAACAGAATCTCTCCTCTCCTGGGTGGCATTTGTTCAGAGGCTTTAGTTGCTCTCATGTCTCCAGCTTGGCTGGGGGCTTCTGTCCCTCCTGGAGCTACGCTGCTCGTCTGCAGTCTTCTTGAGATGCGGGACCCTCAGCAGGAATCTTTCGTCCCCCACCCCACCCCATGTGTTCCTGCCCTCGCTGGCTGTCTTCTGTTCCCCTCCCTGCCACCTACCCTGTTGAGTACGGTCATCGGTGTGCATGTGGTCACTACTGGCATGTGGCCGTGAACCCCTCACAAAGAACGTGAGGGGAGGTGGGCAGCAGCTACCCTCTGGGGCCGGTATTCCTGGTTGACCCGATGACTTCCCAGTCTCTCACTGCTCCCTCATCCCTTTAGAAGGATCCTGAACGGGTAGGAGACGTGCCACATCCCTTTTCTCAATTAATCTCTCTTCCATTGAAAACAGTTTGTCAGAGCTCTGCATCGTATTTATCTATGATGCTGGGGCTTTGCTGCCGCCTTTTCTTAGGTGTGTGCTTAGACACTTGTAAGAAACATGAAACCTCAAGCCTCAGGCTTTATTTGAGGTGCTCGTGACTGGGGGAAAGCCAGTATTCTGTCCTGTGTCCAAATGTCACCTTTCCTTCCTCCCGTGACCTTGAGTTCTTGATTGGTAAACAGCTGTGGAGGGTGATATTTAATACGAGGTCTGGGCTTAGAGCGGTGTTTAGGTGCTCGAAACCACAGAAGGAAAACCAGTAGTCTCCACAGGAGGGTGGCAGACAAGGACCTTTTTCTCTACTTCTTGTGTGCCCTCCTGCCCGTCTTCTTGCCCTGACACCAGGGATCCTGTTTTTAAGATTCCTGACTTACTGGTGAAGCCTTTCTTCCAGAGAGGGGGCCCGGCCTGGAGTTGTTTGATGAGGGAAAGGAGGACAGGCTGAGATGGAAGAGAGGGGAGTTATGGGAGGCTCACCTGGGGCATAAGGGCGTATGTCCAGGTATGCTTGTGTAGCTCACACACAACCTCCTGAGGTCACGCTGGATTCTGAGCACTTTTCCAGGAGTAACACAGAAAAGCAGAATTTTTAAAATGTGCAATAAGTTGTATTGCCATTTAAAAACTATTTCCAGCTGAATAAATTTAGCAAATAAGCGTGAGGAAATAAGGAACTGCTAAACACTCCTTCCTTCCCTCGACTTTCCATCTCTTCCCTTCCTTCTTCCTCCCCGCTCCCCACGTATTGACCGAACCCTTGGTACATGGAGGCTCCTGTGAGGATTTTATTCCGTGGTGAGGTGAGATGGGCGCATAACTGTAATGGCTGCCAGGTGATACTAAGTGCCCGAAACTCCGCCCTCTCCAGCAGAGGGAGAAAGTGAGGCTCGGGGAAGACTGACGCAGGGCACACGTGGTGTGGGACAGAAGAGGTGGCTGTTTGAGCTCAGGTCTCTAGCCTAGAGCCGCGTCCTGTGGTGCTGAGTGACGACCACGAGGCAGGCCCCAGGTCACTGCCGTGCCTTCATCCACCAGCATGATGGACAGTAGCTGTGACCCTTGAAAGACTCTTGGGGCCTGAGGAACATTCTCTCTTCCTAGAGGCCCGAGTTGAGGTGGAGGGGTGGGGGAGAGCACTACATGCCTGAGGCCTGGGCTCACTCAGGCGGCTGAGTGCTCGCACCATCCCGGGAGTGTGAATGCTTATCCATCTTTGGTTTGCAGAGGGTTGGGGGCCTGGGGCCCTGGGGGGTGAAATGAATGCGGAGACCCAGTTGCCCTATTTGCCTGCTAGGGGAAGAGTGAGGAGTCCACAGCTCCTCCTTCCTCTGCAGACACCATATTTATTGCCCTCCGAGAACAAGGAGGTGCTCAGCAGACTCCTTTCTCCATCTCCGAACAACACTTGCTATCGTGTGAGTGAGTGTGGTCAGGAAGGCTTCCCAGGACACTTGGGTTTTAATCCCTTCTCTCTTGTTTCTGTCATTAGGGAAATATATGAGTGGTATAGGTGTAGAAAATTGACTTAGCTGTTATTAAATATACAATATAATTTTGTGTAACTTTGCTTACTGTGGTGGCCTGTTTGTTTTTGGGGGGAATAGTCCAAGTCTGCATGAAATGTACCGATTCAAATTTGTAAAGTGAGTTGTGGCCTCTGGGGGGTTTTGATGGAGGAGCTGCTCCTGCTTGCTTCAATTCTCCCAGAGGTGAGGGAGAGTCTGGAAGGAAAGCAATCACTGTGTACTGTTTGGGGAGGGGGTGGGTTTCTGGGGAGAGCAGGGTGTTTGTTCCAGTGGCTACAGGGTTTACTGTGTGGTGTGTGTGTGGTAAACGCATATTCACCAGCCTGTTGAAATACACCTTTCTTTAGTGAAAGGTAATTGCATCTGGAGTTTTCTCTGACAGAGAGGTT